TTATTTAACTTAACAATGTTATATGTATATCATGACATAGATTTACACAATATTAATATATACGGGGTACGTAAATAAATTGCACAAAAGATATATACGGGGTACGTAAATAAATTACATACTTCGTAAAGTTTGTTTACATACACAAGTACTCCGTAATATTTTAGTAGTAATAACCATTTCATTTTTTTACTATTCCCGAATGATTATATACGTATGATTACCCAAAATTTAATTTTTTTGTAACAACAACTAAATTCAGTTTAATATAAGGTAAAAAATGCACAGATAAATATCTCAACATGACAACATATCAAAAGGTTAGGGTCAATGGGTACACCTCCGATATCGCTAACGGCACGATAGATGAACGAAACTCTCGAGAACACCCCCCTCGTTACCACGCTAAGTTGCCCTTCAAACACTATCTCCCAACCAAGTGCCCTCAACTAATTACTCAAGGCCTCTACTTATAGGTGAGAAGGATGGTAGATGGATGGTTTTCTGCGGAGTATTTGCTTAGTTCATTTTTCTCAAATTAAATTAAATGTATTAAAATTAATTCTCTATCCCCCTTTAGTGGAAGATTAGGTGAATTGGGAAAGTGGAGATGACAGGGGTGGCGTGAGAAAAAAAAGGGAAAACAAAAAGTTTTCATGCTCCGTCGATTTACCGTGTGTCTGATTCTCACAATTTCAATTATTGAATATTTTGTTTTAAAAAAATAAAACTTATACTGTTAAGTTCCATATTTTTCACACAATATTTTAATATAATTTGTTTGTCAAGAAAATAAATTCATTTGAACAAACTCTATTATTCAAATGGTAAAGAACCCAAACTAGTTTTTATTCCCTTTCACTTTATTCTTTTTCCCAACTCTACTAGTAATTTAATCCTTTAAATTAAATTCCAAATTGATTGTTTCTAACTAAATAATAGTAACATTTTTTTTCTTTATTTTTTTATAAATATTATTACTATTATTTTTTTCGAATTTTCTCTTTTTTTTTTAAATATTTTTATTCCTTTGTACTAGAAAGTTAAAAATTTCTAGACCGTTTTTCAGGGCGTTACATTTCTCAACCCCTTAAGAAAAATTTCGTCCTCGAAATTTCTTCATGTCATATCACACCTGGTTAGGAAAGGAGTGTTTGTTTTCATAAAAGAAATTTCAAATTTAAATTTAGACATTTTTTTTACGTAAATGGTATTTATACTTACGGTTAATTAAAGAACAAGATTTTCAAAGTAGCAAGAAAATCTTGATACTTACGATTCGTATATTACCAAATGACATACACAATTTTTTTTTGAAATAATATGTATGCTCTTATCTATATTTTAGGAAAATGTACAACACTTTCTTTTTATTATTTTCCTAAAACTTCCCTTGCATAGTAAATGTAGTGATTGTATTAGCCATGACTATAATCAAGTTTTTAACAAATTATACCCAAATTATTTCATGTTAAATTGTAAAATTGAAAATTAAATTATCAAAATATGATTGTCCATGTTATGTACCATAATTATCTACATACAATTTTTATTAGTCAGCCGTTTTTTTCTCCCTCAAAACCTCGTCTAAAAAAAGATGCACTAAAACATTATGTGATCTTTTATCCATAGCTTGCTTTAAATGTCACTTTTTTTTCTTTATTTAATTCCATACTACTCATTTATTACTTTCTCCTTATTATTTTTATTTGAACATACTCGCTCACTGTTTTATATTCTTTATACCTCCAACAATCTAATAGTTCTGATTTGGTAGCTCGAAATAATAATTATGCTTAATTTGTGTACGACCAGTAAGTAATGCCATAGATCTCACAATATGTATGCTATTTAAACCAATGTTTTGAAAACCGGACCGGGCATCGACCCGGAAGAGCAAGTAGGTCAAGGGCTAACCGGTTGAACTGGTCAACTCGGGGGTCAATGACCCGGTCAAATATATGTAAATAATAATATTTTATATTACTTTGTATATTATTAGATGACATCATTATATATAATATTTGAGAGTTCATGCTTTGAGAAGTTGCCATTTGGCACTGCTTAGGGATTGCCATGTGTCTCTTCTTCACAGGACGAAATTAAAAAAAAGTCAAATCTTCACCTAAAAGGAAATACTTCACCGAAGGAAAATTAAGATCTCATTAATTGAGCATCTTCTTCATAGATGGAAACACTCCAAAATCTCAAAATCTCTTAGGAAGAAAAAAAAGAGCTACTGAACAAAACAATCAGCTATGGATCGGCGGAATATTGGGATTAGAAATCATCCTAAATAGGACTAAAACATAGATAAAAGTACTAAAATAGGACTCTCATGTTTTTTTCCCGGAATAGGACTGCACTGTGGTAATGACGTAATGTGACCTTGCATTGTGCTAATGTGGCAGTGTACAAGTGCAATTTCTATGTTTTTTTGGTAATGTATATGACTATGGTTTGTAATGTAAGTCCTATTTCGGAAATAAAAACATGGAAGTCCTATTTTGATATATTTTCAAAATTTTAGTCCTACTTTGATCCTTCATCCGATCTTCTCGCTTAATTAAGATCCAAAATACCAAAATTGAGATACAAAGTTGAGATTCGAGATTCAATGTGGAATTTTTCATCGGCGCTGCGATCAATTTAATTTGGTATGTTTCGATTTTCATATTTAATTGTTATTCATCCTTACATAACCGTGCATATTCAATTCATATTCTTCTTCAATATAATGGTTTTTCTTTTTTTGAGTCTTGATTTATGGCTTGATTTACATATGATGCAATTTCTTCCGTATGATTTTTAACTGTTGGGTTATTTGTGGTTTAATTTTATAACACACTATTCAATGGCATGTTTAAGTTTTTTTTTTAAAATACGACATGTGTGATTCATATTCTATGAAGGGATGACTCAAAAAAGTCAAACTAGACGAATACACGGGATGGAGGTAGTATTTGATATACCTGCAATACTGAGTAGGCATGTCCTTGAACAATACCACTCGAAGAAATATGCACATCTAAACCTGCACCAAGTAGGGGTGGACACGGTACCGGTACGGTACCGTGACCGGCAACGGTACTGCCGGTACCCGCCACCCTTACCGCCGTCGCCGCCGTGTCACCGGTCCCGGGAACCGGTACCGGTACCGCCCATTTCGGTACCGGTTCCGGTACCTATTTTTTGGTACGGGTACCGCCGGTACCGGTCCGGTTCCGGTACCCGATTACATTTTTTTTTTTGCTTTTGTTCATTCCCAACGGCTCCCACCTGCAAAAAACAGAAAAAAAAATTAGTGGGGGCACACCTCAAACGGCTATTTAGCCGTTGAGGTGGGGGAGGGGAAGAGGGGAGGGGAGGGGGAGGGGGGGGAACTATAAATTCTCACATTTTTTTCCTAAAAAATCACTCAATTTCTCAATCCATCTCTCATTCTCTCATTCTCTCAATTTATCAATCTCTCAATCTTATTATCTCTTTTTAATTTTTATACATTTAATATTCATATAATAATATAAAATTTTTATACATTAATATTTTGAAATTTTCGAAATTTTAATATATAAAATTTCGAAATTTTTTCAAAATTTTCGAAATTTAAAATATTATTAATTTTTAAATATATTCTTTAATCTTTAAATAATTTAAATATATTCTTTATTTTTTGAAATTTTCAAAATTTTAATATATAAAATTTCGAAAATATTTTAAATTATTGAAATTTAATATATTATTTTTTTATATCAAAAAATATATATATTAAAATGTCGAGAGAGTCCGGTAGAAGGTCCGTGGATATGGGCGCCGTGAACCGAAGTTTGAGGAGAGGCAAAGCTAAAGCCACCTCCGACGGTTCGACCTCACGCGGTTCTCGAGGAAGACACTCCGTCTCTTCCTTTCCTACTATCCCCGATCACTTAATCGGGGACGCTATGACGGATGAAGAATTCGACCAGATTTATTCTGGTAGAGGGGACGCAAATCTCCCCACTCTTGATAGTGTATTCGAAGATCTTGATGAAGCACATCTGGATAATCTGGGCGGGGACGAGGAGCCTACACCGCAGAGCAACGACGTCGACGTGGAGGCAGGTGAGCCCGAGACCTCTCGAGGTCCGGATAAAGGTAAAAAAAATATAAATCAGATTTATTTGTTTATCATTTTGACAAAGACACAAAAGATGGCGTACTTTATGGTACTTGTAAACATTGCGGGACCGTCATAAAAATGGGAGTTTCCGGTGGTTATGGCGGTCCGGAAAAACACCTAAGGTCGAGGCATCCCGTGGAGTACGCCAAATACGAGGCAAAAAAGAAGGGACGACAAGAAGTGCAAACCCAAATTTCTCGGTTTGCTAACAGAGGTAAGGGCGGCCTTTTTGCTTATAGCGACGAGCAAAATAAGCAAAAAATGGCCGAAATGATTTGTGAAGAAAATTTGCCATACATGTTTTCTGAGAAACTTGGTTTTATTGATTATTGTCAACAGGCATTAAACCCTCAAGCACGAGGTTTTTCAAGAAAAACAATTAAACGAGAAATTATTCGTCAGTATAAAA